TGTATTAGAATGTTATGTATGTTTGTATCATGATTTTGATTGGATTATATTTTTAAGTATGTTCTTATCGTAAGTTTAGTCGTATTATAATTTTATGTATGTTCATTTTATGATTTTGATTGCATTATAATTTWATCTATTGGGTTATAAAGATTTGAAGTCTTTAAGTTTGGTATGTGATTTTTTACATATCGTATGGTTGGTCTAGTACATTCATTATTGTGTTTTTAAAGTCAAGGTATGTGTTGAAGATGAAAAATAGTACATGTACATCATCATTTGAAGGAGACATATCTTTATGTGGAGTATTTTTTATTCTTAAATTTGTGTCAGATTCCTTAATATTTCCGCCGTTATTATTACTCATTTTATTTAGTTTTACAATTTTATTACTAAACAAATCTCTCTCTCTCTCTCTCTCTCTCTCTATATATATATATATATATTAAAATTTCACTAACTATATTTTATTTAACTTTTTCGAATTATTTGAATATGATTTGTTGATGATTCTATTAACAATTAATATATATTTATATAGACAGTCATCAGATGATTAATCAAAGCAATCATACTACCGCGCAACGCGCGGTTCCATACTAGTATAGTTTTAAACAAGAATATGAAATAAAATAAAAGCCGGCGAATAAAAGTTGGAAACGAATTGTATCTAATAAGACACGAGGGCTCCGGTCAGGGCAAAGCGGGAAGCCGGCTGTGGGGTTTTGCCGGCCGGCTGCCACGTCATCAATATAGATAAGGAATTGAAAAATGAAATTTTATGCAGCCAAAAATGTAGACAGCTTGTAGGTTGATTTAAATATTTAAGAAAGTATATTCTATAAGTAGTGTACTGCCTTCACTTTTTACTTGTATTATTTCTTTCTTATTTTATTGTCAATCATTGGCTCCTTTTTATATTTTAATAATATATATATATATATATGTATATTTTATTTGATTAACATGAATATATAACCCGTTATACAAACCAATTAATCGTAGTTTTTTAAGTTATGTTTACCATGAGTATAAGGAAAATTAAGTATAAAAAAACTATTTTTTTAAATGGGTTTCCCCAATAAAAATGGTCTACTTAAAAGCTTAGTAATAGATTTATATTTTAGAGTTTATTTATAAATAAATACTTTTTATAAAGTACAAAATGCACGAAATAGCAATCTATTTTTATAAATTTTTTTGATATAGCATTATACTTCCAGTTTTTTTTTATTACAGTAATGTACTTTCAAACTATTTTTTATTAGAATATTGTACTTTAAAAATTTTACTCATATAGCATTGGATAACCTTTGATTTAAATTTACCCATTATACTAGGTTTCTGCCACCTCATTGTCCACGTAGACTATTCACATGTACTATAGTGTTGTGACTTTCTTATTACAACATTATACTTTCAAAATTATTTTATTATAACATATACTAGTTCTTATTAAACAATGTTCTTTTAATTTTAATATTTAGATATTTTACATGTTATTTAATAAATATATTAAATGAATTAAAAAAATTCTAATTATTCATTAAATACCAATATAAATAAAAACTAGTAGAACACAACTTATCTCGCTAATATCTTTTAAAAAAATATGTTTTTTTTAAGAAAATAAGAATTATTCTTTTTTTACCAAAAAAAATATTATCTTTAAAACATATATCATATTTGTTCAAAAACTTTTACTTGACGTATAAATATATTAAATTAATTAATTTTTTTTGAATTATTTAGTAATATAACAATATTAAAAAATTATAGAACACAATTTATTTCGTTAACATTTTAGAGAGAACTTTAAAATATATGTATTTTTTTGAACAACATAAAATAAGTAGTGTTATCTTTTTTACAAACAAAATATATCTCAAAAATAATGTAGCATATTTATTTAAGAAATATTTTACTTTATAATATTTAATTTGCATGCAACTTAATAAGAAAAAATCAAAAAATTAAATATTTTTTTAAATCATAACAATGAAAAATGAAAATATTTAATAATAATTTGAAGTATGTTTTTATTTTTATTTTAATTAAGTCACCAAATGATGTGTCATCCACACCACCTCATTAAAGTCACACAAGCAAAAAAAGTCAATGGGTTAACCAGTTTAAAAATTAATAGGTTACCCATTGCTATAATTGGTATATTTTTTAAAGTACGATGCCTTAATAAAAATAATAATTTGAAAGTACATTGTTGTAATAAAGAAAAACAAAAGTAGAATGCTATAATAAAAAAAATTATGAAAGTAGGTTGTTATTTCATGCATTTAACCCTTTTATAAATTTATTTTCAGAATCTGTAATTTCAAATTACAAACTCGTAAATAAATACCTTAAAAGTTTGTTTTCAATAGACCCGTAAATAAATACTTTTTTAAATTTGCATTTAAAAACCATTTTTGTCAAAAATGACAATTAAATAAAAATACATGTATTATAAACGACTTTACCTTACTTGTATTATTTGAAGTATGTTACATTTTTTTTTTAAAACAACATATTATTAAAAACACAGAACAATGCAAAGCAGATATAGAAGTTCTCAACGATTGGTGTTAAAATATGGTTATATCAAGCACCACCCGAACATGAAAAAACACTTCTTTGGAATCTTTATTTCGGAGTCGATAAATTATATGGTCTCTGGTTGAATCATAACGACTTACTGCCATTTGATGTTTCGACATGGAGGTAACGTATTATGTTAAACCGACAATAAAAAGATATGGTCAAGTTTATGTTACTTCTAGAAAGAATTAAAGAAATCATCCCTTATTGTTATCCCTTTGTTACTATTTCGTCCAAATTGATTTAGACTTTCCATAAACAGTTGTCACTTACAACAGATACCATCCAAACCGATATTTACAACACTATTGATTCACAACTGGTATTATTTATTTTGACAATAAACAACAATCGAAATTAATTTTTAACAATCAGAAGTTGAAACAAAACCCTGACATGATGATTGGTATGATACTACTGTCTGTCACAAAATTCATAAACATGATAGCTTCAAGTTTAAGGGTAATTCCACCATTAAAAAACCCCCTAATACTCGATTGATTATGATGAATATTGTTTACGTTTCATCATTTTATTATTATTATTATTATTTCCGAAATTTGTGATTGGCTTATACTTCCTTCTATTTTTAGAAAGAATAATAGTAACTTGCCTTTATTTTTAATCTTTTTATTAACCACGGATGTCCGAATCAATCGGTACAAACTTTGAGTGTCTCAGAGATCTTAGAAAACAATAAAAAGAACCTGCTAATCATCTTGTAAAACTTAAACCGATAACTTTTAGGGTGTGTTTGGTGTTCAGACAAGACATGACTGGACATGATATGATATGATAAAACATCTGTTCAACATTTAATAAGATAAGACTGGACAGAACAAAACAAATAAAATGACCAGTTTATCCCTGATGACTTGTTTATTTTAATTTATTAAATTATAATAGAATAATTAATTTTTATAACAAAATATATCATTTGAAGTTTCGTCAAAACAAATAAAATGACACCAAATAAAAAGTTTTTGTAGTTTCCAATTTTTATTTTTATCTTTTTTCTACATTATTTTTTTATTATTAATATATAATAAATTACATAAATTAATAAAAATATAGAAACCGTATAAAAATAATATTTTGAGGATAGTAAAATGATGTTTTAGAAGAGAATTAAGTTTTATTTTAAGGTTATATTGGTAAAATATAAGTTTGTTTCACCTTATTCCACTTTGTTCCATGGGATAGGGGTGGAACAAGTATGTTTTACTTTTGTTCCACTTTATTCCTGTCTATTCTACATAAAAATCATGTCAAACATAAGACAGTGATCTATGTTATGTTATTTTCAATATACCATATTCAAAAATTGAAATAATCCCGTGAGGATATAATAGCTTGACTTGTCGCATAAAAAGCCTTTAGCTTTCAAACACTTGAGGCTCGTGGATTCTTTACTTTACACACTCCTCCTAGGTTTAAGGGGGTCCGTTTCGTCACACGAAATGACAGAAATACCCCTTGTTTGGTGCCACCCTAATAAATACATTTACTTTTGAAATTAGGTGCCACTTGTCGTATGTATATTGGCCCGGATAAGATGATCATGTTGACGGCAAACTTGAGGTGTTGTTTGGGACCCACGATCTTTGATTATTCCAACAAAATTTAGTTACATGGTTGATAAACCTTTTAACATTTTCAAACGTGGGTTTTTAAGAAAAATAATGATGGTAAGTTGTGAAGTGGCGTTTGTACATTGGTCTGGATTTAGAAATTTGAGGTCTGGAAAGTAGAAAAGAATAACGACCATGGAGTAGAAGGCTTCTTTGACTTCTTTGGCAGCAAGACAAAGTAAAGAATAGTTAAGGGCAGTTTCCATAGCCATAGGGATGATCAATCTCAGCCGTTGGATTTGTACTGGCGTAGGATACTCAGTTGAGTACACGTGCTGCCATCTCTTTTTATCCTTGCTTCCATGCATGGGTTTCTCCATCTTCACATCCAACACATACTCTCTGTCTCTCTCTCGCTATATATATCTCTTGAGAGAGAATCATTCAAAAGGTTAGAGAGAGAGTAGCTTTTCTTTGCTTGTTCATCGCACATCATCGATCTTGTTCTTACTTCAAGTCTCAACTAACCAAAGCTACTACTTTCAGAGGTAGATCTTGATCTGGAATGATATCTGAGATGGGTTCTTCATTTTCACTTCTGTCTTGAGTAAAACTCAAAACCAACCAAAGATTTGAGCTTTAAATTTGGTTTCTTGATCTGGATGATTCTCAATTTTCACTTTTGATCTTGAATTCTTTGTTTCTTGATCATCCTCTGTTCTTGCATTAGTTTGACTTCAGTCTGATCTGAATCTTATTTGATCAAAAATGTCGAGTTTGATCCAAGAAACTGAGCAAGATTGGATGAAACATTTCTGTAAGTTGTGCGACAAGAGCTTCCCATCTGGTAGATCCTTGGGAGGTCACATGAGGTCTCACGTGATCAATTCCACTGATCTTCATCATCAGAAGCAGATGAAGAAGCTCTCTTCTGTCAACAATGGTGGAAAATCGAAGAAGAACACCGCCACCGATGTCTTCGATGGTTCGTCCAATTCAAACGATTCTGGTTATGAGCTGAGGAAAGATCCAAAAAGGACTCCAAAAGTCAAAGATTCAAGTGAAGTGGAAAACAACAGCAATTGTCTGGTGGTTCTTGATAAGCTCTGTAAGGAATGTGGTAAAGGTTTTCAATCTTGGAAAGCCTTGTTTGGACACATGAAATGTCACTCTGACAAAGTCGCAAACAACCACAATTTGAATCAAGATTCTTGGACTAGCCAATCGGATGATGAGAATTCAGGTGCAAAAGTCAAGAAATCAAGATCAAGAAACACAAGAATCAAGAGGTATATAACTGCTACTGTTACCACTACCACCACCGTCACAACAGCTTCATCTTCAATCTCCATGAATGCTAACAATCAAATGATGATCAGTAGTAATCATGCTTCAACAAGTGTGGTGTCTGAGATAGAGCAAGATCAAGAATCTGAAATCGCCATGTGTTTGATGATGCTCTCTAGAGATGATGGGAAATGGGATAATGAATATGAATCATCTGATTACTGTAATTCCTCTGCTTTGGTGAGGTTGACTAAAGTTGAGGGTAAAAAGCCAGTTGGAAATGGTTCCAAGATCAAGAAACTAGCAGAAACCCAAGTTGGTGTTGATTATCTTGGAAGATCTGAAGTGGGTTCTGCTGGATTGCCGAAAATTATGATCCACAATGACAAATTCATCGACGAAAGTGAGTTGGGTTTTGGGAAAACTGATCAGGATTCAAGCAAGAGAAAGTTCGAGTGTGCTACTTGTAACAAAAGCTTTCATTCTTATCAAGCACTTGGTGGGCATAAAGCAAGTCACAAGAAGTTAAAGGGATATCTAGATCCAAAAACCGAACCCTTGTTCAATCATGAGCATATGATCAATGGGTTTTGTGCAAAACCATCTGATAACCATCAATCAACAAAAGGCTTTAATCTTGGTGCTGGTTCTCTGAAGAAAACAGTGGTATTGGGATCACATGAATGCCCAATTTGCTTCAAGATCTTCTCATCTGGGCAAGCTTTGGGAGGTCACAAAAGATCACACATTATTGCAGAAGCTAAGTTGAATCAACAAACCAACATGAATCTGATTGAAAAAGTGAACGAACCAATTCGTGGCTTTCTTGATCTCAACATGCTTCCAGTTCCTGATACGGTCGAAGAAGAGATGATGATGATGAACAATAATACCACAAGATACAAGCCATGGTACTGGACAGATAGCAGTCATAGCACTAACCATGAATCAACAACAGCACTACTTGGTTTGTTCTCCAGCTAAAAACCATTATTTCAAGAGTGTACAGATTCCATTAATTCTTCACCAACAAAACAACATGATAAGCAGCCATACACACACAAACACCAAGAACACACACCAACATCTTCACAGTTTTTTGTGCTTATAACTACATTGTTTTCATCAAAGGGATCACATTTTTCCCCTGCTGCAGTAAACTTGAATCTCTCTTCCTTTTGATTAATTTGAACAGAAACAATCTGTATTGCTGTAATATTCAAGGGTTCATTGGTTTTCATCAATTTTCTTTTGGTTTTTTCTTGAATTGTAAAAAATGATGAAAGGTTAGTTGCATAGTCACCAACCATCACAACACACACACACACACACCCCTTGACAACTCCATGTCTCACTTCTCTTTCTTTAACTCATCCATAACCATCATCCTCTAGTGGATTATATTTTATTTTATTTTGGGTTTTTAATTATAATATTTTGCTAATCATTTTCTAAACTGTAATTATCTATAAAAACTAATATTAAAAACTTCATGCAATAAATAATTTGGATTAATAAACCTAAAAAATGGTTGCAACATGTTGTTAGAGTCTTTGCATCAGTGTTACAACAACGTCAGTATTTTTATTTAATTCGTCAGTTTTTTTTTTACATAGTGAATGTATCAATCATGTCCCTATGTGCAGTAGCAGATATTAGAGGTGGCCAAAATTCGGTCCCGGGCCGGGCCTTAACCG